ATTATAACCTGAGGTATGGTTGTAGGAGGACCAGAAAGGGAAACAGACTCCAATTCCAGCTTTTCAAGAGACGAGAGGGCGAACTGGCGAATGGCTTGCAAGAAGATATGCGGCGAAGACCAACAGTTCTTGAGAGAAAGGTGTTTCACATAGGGGAGTTGTAACAAGTTTGATGTGTCATCCCGCACCGCCGTCGGGTTGACCATGAGGTCTGGTTGGTTGACAAAAGGTGCGGGTAGGATATATGAGTTGCGCTGATAGAAGCTTGGCGCAAATTCACCGCCGCATATCCATTCAAAATGAAGGCTCTCGACATTGGGGCACTTGCCGACATGAGCGCTGAGCAGTGTGAAGACCTTGCCGACGGATTCAACAGGCGATATACTGACATCCTCGACATACCCGGGCGTAGAGACTGTCAATTTCCGCCAGTCAGCAATGACGCCAATTGATACGTTCTTGAGGCTGGGGATGCCGTCCCAAAGGTCATCTCGACAGAATATGTGAACATGGCTTCCCGGGACCTTGGCTATGGTCAATGTGGTAACGTGCTGGAAGCAGCCGACGGAAGCGTTATCAATCAAACCCAGCACATAGGATTGAATCATGGCGCGATGTGCCCATTCGAGCTCAAGCAACATCTCTTTTTGGGCTCTGGTGAGATTCGCAGGTATCAAGGGCGAGTTTGTCACGTCCTTGAAGGAGTGGACATAATGGGTCAGAACTCCGCCAGGGCCAAGATTTGAGGCAAGCGAGGTAGACCTTTCGTCAAAGTTGATATTTGCAAGATTGACGTTTTCGGTGTCAAGCATGATGCGCACTGCTTCCGAGACTTGACGTCCTGCGTAGCCAGCATCCTTTGCCATTCTCTCGAGAATTGTATTCCGGAATGCCTTGGGGTTGGGAAACATGGACTTGTGCTTGTCTCGAGAAGCGTCGTTAAAATCGGCAACGGTGATGGCAGGCTGATGGGCGCCTTGAGCCGAACGTTGATGGCGGCGCCAGTCCACGGTTGCAAACACAGGGTGATGGCCACGAGCGCTTCGTGCCAGCTTGTCTGGCCCAAGCAGGAATCCGAGGCCGGCATCGCAGCATAGGCCAATATTCTGTACCTTAGACAGACACCGAAGGGCAGCCCTCATCCCCTCAGTTTCGTCAGCGGTCTGCTCGAGGCCCTCAAGATCGGTATATCTATGGTAATTTGCATGTGGCCAACGGTAGATGCCCCAGAAGGCCGGAACAGCCTCCTGGGTAGGCTTCACCGGCGGATAGGCGAGCGAGGCTTCATCAAGCTCGAGAGACAGGGCAAAGCGGAGGATGTGAGGTCCAAACGACTCAAACATGTGCATTCCATTAGAGAAGAAGTCAGAGGTCGAATGACGCAAGGAGCCATGTTCATCACGACTAAGTGCGCTGTACAGCTCGGATCGGAATGGGACCACGACATTGCGAAAGTACTGGGCCGAGACCTTGGCTTCAAAGTCGCGAGAGACCAAGCGGAGGTTCCTGAGCTCAGCTCTGCTCAGGTAAGACGTGATGATGTCGAAAATCTCCACCGGAACGTGTGCCATGGGCCATGGAGTGAGACGGGGAGAGGATATGGGACAAGGATGAGCTTGCTTGCTGCGCCGAGGCAAAAGACGGAGCGAGTATGCATATATTGAGAGGGTTGGAGCAGGACATGGCCCGAGGCGAGGTCCTTGTCAAGGGTATTGATGGCTGTTGATGGTAGTTGGAGGTGGTTTGGATATGTTTTTGGCCCTTGGGTGGATCTGAGATGGGAGCTTGCGGCGTGGCACTGGGTCGAGGGTCGAAGTCAATCACTCCATGTCCGTCACCACCTTCTATGGCACGCCACCACCACGGCGCTCCACCAACATGCTGCGGACTGGCTGGAGCCACACTCACTGATGGGATCTGGATCACAGTTCAAACTCGACTTCAGCTGGTGTCTTGTAGGTTCGGGTTGGTCCGCCGGTTTGGAGCCTGGGCGCGCAAGCTGTCTCTCTCTCTCTCCATGTTTTGTGTCCTTTGGTGTCATTCATATGTTGTCCTACCAACCGCGAAAGAGCCTCCAGGAGCAAAGTTTGCTTGACTTGTTTTGCCATGGCCAACTTCTGAACTTCCGAATTCCTCTTACCAGGCTATCTTTTTGGATCGATTCAATTTAGACTTTCAACTGTCCAACTGCATGTTATGATACACCAAGAATCAACGAATCACACCCACTGGAACAAAGGAGTTATGTACAAGCATTCTCTCAGCAGCCAAGAAGTAGAGTGCCTCAGAGAAAAAGAAAAGGGGAAAATAACCTCCAAACTATAACAAAGCGTGGGACGCATCAGTCAAACAATAATGTTAGTTAGCCCTGCTCAGCCTCATTTTTCCAACTCCCGCTCTTCTCCGCGTATCCATCACCTGTTATTTGTGCCCTGCCAGAACCAATAACTATTTATATACATCAGTAACATGATTGCAAAATCACAAGCCATGCGCAGAGCGGCGGGTGCGTGTGCAGAGGAAGACTTACACTGCTGAATACTGTACTTCGAATCTCGCAGGCATGTCCTTGCAATTGGCTGGTGGCGAACCGCCAGCCGTGTCAACACGGTAAACGTCCTTGATGTCTCCCGTGGTACCATCCATCGCTGTGAGCCGCAGCCAAGTTACGGCTTTCTCGCCCGTTTGGCCAACAGCAGCGGCAGAAGGGGCGTTGGCCGAGCTGTTCTTCGCGCAAGGCACTTGGCCAATGGCTAATGCTGGCGTGTCCAAGTTGAAGAATGGAGTTGAACCGTCGAAGTAATGCACTCCAGACTTTGCCATGGCTGTGGGACCAAGCCTTTCAGCCTCGTCAAGCTTGAATTGTACAGCCATGGCCGGGATCCGTGAGAGGACGTCAGGGTATAGAGCCGCAATACAGCTGGCATTGAAGAGGGTAGCCACGGCTCCGACAGCCTTGGGTGCGGCATCAGCGTTGTTGGGATCGCAGGTGTAATTTTGAGTCCCGCGTCCGACTGCTACGTGGCGTACGGTCAAGCCCTTATCTGGAGGAGGCAGCCCGTCGATGCCTACAGGGGGAGGAGGTACATGTTAGTTATACCATGCCATAAATTCCTGGCTCTTGGATGATGTTCAATTTCATGCTTACCAGTGGGCATGTGAGCTTTCGACAAGTCACACTCTGGAGCTGTCGAGAGACCCTTGGCTACCTCAACCTTGGAGGCGATGAGATTAAAGTATCCTGACAAGTTGTCCAGGGCACTGAGAGGGTTGTCGTTTGTATCCAAAGTCGGGAATGTTGGCGCAGCGCTGGCAATCGCGACAAATGCTGCCGTAAGGATTGTGATTGAACGCATGTTTGTTTCTCTTTCTTTTCTTGGGGTCACAGGCAGCACCTTCCACAAAAAAACACAGCAGGCAGAATGGCTTGTTGATCTGAGACGGACGGCGCAGAGATACGACGCAGCACCAGAAGAATAAAAATCGTAACGGTCAACAGGGGACGATTTCGTATCAATACTAGGCGAGACAGGAATGTAGATAGGCGCAGTAGCAAGAAGGGATAAACTGAAGAGCCAAAACAAATTGAACAGTCGTGATGTAAGATGCAGACGACAAAGGGAATAAGGAAATAAGAAAATAAAAAAAAAAGGAAAAGGAAAACAACCACAACTGGGATGGTTATATACCGACCGGTTGAGAATTGGTTCTGTGCTTCAAAAAAAAAAGAAGACCAGAAGGACGACCAAAACAGAGGCAAACGAATCTATTATAAGCCAGTATTTGTTGTTTCCAAGCACACGGCTACTGGCATGACTGTCTTGAATGGGCCAAGAAACCCAAAACCCACACGTCGGGTCTGCAGCCGCCCATCTAGGCCCAGCGTCAAGCACGACACCCGCAGCTATAGGTCCATCATTGGTCGGGCCAGGTCTTGTACAGGCCAAAGTGAGGGCGGCTGACTGAGAGACAGCAAGGCACCGACATGGGGCGATGCTTTTTATGGCACGGCGACAAACTGACGATGCTCGGAGAGCTTGTCGTCCAATTGATTGGCGCACTGCAGCTTCTGAGATGGCGGGAGGGTGGGAATGATGGGCTCAGCGCCGTTTGATTGGCCGCTGTCTAAGCGCCGTGCCGGGCGGGGATCCACTACAACCAGAGCTCTCAAGTGCTCCTTGCTTGCTTGTCTCTGGCCTCCGCAATTGTGGACGCCTATTGTCTTCCCGCACACAGTCAATTGATAGGCAAACTACCTCAAACCACGTATTCCAATGCATCTGAGTGGTCAGCGGCCGGCGACCAGCGTGGAAGACGGACAGGGAATGCACTTTTGGTTTAAACGGCTCGGATAACGTGGTCCGAAACGCGGCCAACAGAGCTGCTCCATCCATCCAATGGATCGAAATCTACTCCACGCCTCGCATCTCGGGCCAGTGTCACCGATCGACGCATTACGCGAGCACAGCAGGTTCCCTGTCTCTACGCCACACCTTGTTGCTTCGGCGCGTAGGATATCTGCAAGAAAAAAAAAATCAGGTTGGGCCAGCGGAGTAGTCAAGAGAACCATGGTTAGCTGAGCATTCCGGCTCTGTGCCCATGATTGGACACCCATCATTTCATCCTAGATCCCACGGCCAGGCCGCCATATCGGGTCGGCGCTTCGCGGGAATAGAAAACGTAACAGAAGACCTCCACGGTACAGAAGCCCCATCCTAGAGACAATAAAAACTGCGCAGCCAAGACCTCTCTTGTTGGTGCTCTTCTTTATATCTACATGTCCTTAGAGCCTACACAAGCAAGTGGAAGCCTTCCCATATTTATCATCATTTCTCCCATGTCTCGCCTTGTCCAGATGGAATGCCTAGCTAACCCCGTAATATTACATCCCACATTATTGATAGTGTGTGCATATGTATACTTTGGGCTTGCCTGTACCTCGGTCCAGCCTGATACTGGTGCTTGATTGCTTCCGCAACTTGGCCAGGTTCTAAACGTCATTACTGCCTATTGAAACTATCTTGCTTCCAATCTCCGTGATTTGCACCACCACTTGCCGCCTTTCCTGCACCGGCTGCAGCCGCTCCGGCAGCAGCGGCAGCAGAGGAGCCCAAACTGGACGCATGCTTATCCAAGTCTGCGCTGCCGAGCCAATATAGTGAGAAAAAGACCAGTATATGCAGCGCTACACAGTACACTGCGAAGAGATTTCTGCTTGTACGGGACGCCAGAACCATGCGCGTGATCGAATACACCACCCTCTCCGGGAGGCTCATACGCCGATAGGCTCTGGCCGACTCTCGACCACGAAAAGCCGCAAACGGTGATATGTTTGACTCATAGGCTTGGCGGTATCTGTCCATGGCCATCCCCGGGTTGCCCGTCCCGCCGATGGAAACCGTCGAGGGATTCGGGTTGGAGGAGTAAGCCGATGACGAAGTTGCTGTCGCGCCGCCACGATTGTATGTTGATACATATCTTGTTTTTTCGTACAAGTTGAGGTTATCCTTTTGCAAGGCAGCAACTTCTTGCCGTAGTTGCTGGGCAGTCCGATGCGTCTCGGACAGCTCCTGTTCTAATTGGGCGTTTTTCTTTTTGAATCGATCTCTTTGTGCTGTCACCATTGGCAGGATACCTGACCCGCCTCCCATCGGCTCCCGCTCTCCTGCTGTGGACCGTGGATCCAGTCCGCTGATGATGGATGAAGTAGGTGATATCCTACCCTTTCGTGTCTGCGCACGAGTGACGTACGTGCCGGCGACAGAAGCACCAGACGGGAAAGCATTGGCTCCTTCGGCCTGCATATGCTCGAGATCTTCCTCTAGCTTCTGATTCAAGTTCTGTGACTTCTCCAACTCTGCATTTGTTCTTGAGAGCTCCTCCTGCAGATCCTCCAGCCGAGATTGTAAGTCTTGGTGCGAGACACGGAGAACCGTTAGCTCGTCACCTAGTTTCTTGTTGCGGGACAGAAGGAGCTTTTCTAAAGAATCCCCCTTGTCCGTGCTGCTTTCAATCCTTTCTCGAACCTCGTCATCATCACCGGTGGAAAACTCGATGCTTTTGAGAACCTCAAGTTCCTGCTTGATATCTTCATAGTCGTTCCATCTTTGGACCTTGGCCTTTAGCGTCTCCTTTTCCTCTTTCAAATGAAGTGTCTCACGCTCCATCGTACGCTGCTGAGAATCGAAACTTCGCTTCATACTTTCCTTTTCTAACCTGGACGCATCTAGCTTTCGAATCAGGGATGAATTTTCGGACCTCATGCGCATGTACCCAGGATCATCTTCCAGGGACTTTTCGGGCTGGATTGAGATGGAGGATTTGGCCTGGGCCAGTTCTAGTCGCAGCTGCTCATTGCGAGCTTCAACCTCAGCAAGCCTGGTGCTGGTGCGCTCAATATCAGAATGGAGCATTTCCAGTTCAGCGCTTGAGGCTTTTGCGTGGTGGTTTTCTTGATCTTCTCCTGCTTTTCCAAGGCGCTGATTCACCTCGTAGCTGGCACGCATTTCGTTCAGAAGGCGCTCTTGATTCTCTACCTTCTCTTCCAAGCTATTCTCTTTAGCTGCCCAGTTGTCTTTCTTCTCTTCCATGACGGCATTCCAAGACGATTCAACCTCTTTAACACGCTCGTCCAGGTTGTCCTCGATTTCTTTTCGTGCGGTTCGTTCTGACTGAAGCTTGCTTTCGACATCTTCCAGTTGGGAAGTGAGCTTAGAAACATTTTCTTGGAGGTGCTTATTTTCTTCTGCGAGTCTGGGAAGCGTCTCCTCTGACAGGAGCATGGAGTCTACCGAGGCTTCCAAGAGTGGGTATGGGTCCGGTGCTTCTGATATCGATGTGTAGGCCTGAAGGAAGGCTGAGTTGACTGACTTGGAATGATTCGTGAGAAGATCAATGAAATTTTGATAAGCTTCCACTATTGTTAGCTACTGGGTGTATAGAAAAGGCTGCAGCCGGAGGCTAGACGGGATCTGGACTACCTTTCAAGAGACCTTTGATTTCGGTCAATTTGCTTGCATCATCAAGCTTTCTGAAGTCTTTTGTTTTTTGTGCCAGCTCTTTACGCTGCACTGTCGAGTCGCGCTGATACGTCACGATTTCTGACGCTGTATTATCGAGGTTCGCGGTCAGGGTTGTCAAATCAACACCTATTTACTGCAGTAAGTAAGTGCAAAACGCAGTTGCAATAACGCGGTTGAGACAGCGTACTTCTCCAGGACGAAATAGCATGCTGGAATTTGTTTCCTGCTCCCTCAGCGGTCGGCGCGTCGGGCCGTGCTGCTGAAGAAGCAGCTTCGGCAGCGGCAGGACCGGCTCCAACGACCTGCGCCATTGTGAAAGCGGCGTTTAATTAATTTTCCACAGTCGGAAGCTGCGCATTCGATCGACGTATAAGTCTTGCCATCAATCGCCTACAAGAGGGCGGTGGACGACCAAGATGGCGTGATGGTACGATCGCGATGCTGGAGCTGGAGGATCCAGGCGTTGAAGTTCAAGCAGTTGACGTGTTCGTCACAGGGGAGGGACGGCGGGTCTGGTCTCAACATTCAATCAAGTCTCAAGTGCTGGTCTGGTTGAACATTGAACCAGCCACGGACCACTGAGCCAACTGAGCCACTGAGCCACAGCTCAAATGCCAGGCACCTACGTAAAGTACCGGACATGTCAGGGTCAGGGAGCCTCTGTCTTGTACTTAAGTAGGCGGCCCAGCCCCACCGAAACCTTGGCCTCAGTACCTCCTAGTACGTACCAGACCTGTGTCGTCGACACAAAGACGACTGGACTTATCCGATCTCCGAGCTGTGCTAACCTCCAAATGCCAACACCACTTGACGAAACCACCAAGCCATTGGTCTCCCTCGAAAAGCCAAATCAACGTACGCGATGCGCCACGGCCCTCAACTACAAATATGAGCGTGACACTACACTAGCCTCAAATGAATGATCCCTTGCCATGGCGACACAAACTAGCCTGGCTGCCAGCCCGACCCAGCAGGCAGCGGTCGAAGATGGACCTTATATCTTACGACCGTTATTGGAGGAGATCCCGTTGGCATCAGACGGGTCCGATAGCAATGTGAAGATTAATTGCGTCGAATTTTATGGTGGGTTAATCTAGGATCGGCCTATAAGGACACAGAAGCTAACGTATATACACACAGATGGAAACTTGTACATTGGCACGTCGGCATCCGAGGTGCTTCATTTCGTACAAATTCCCCCTGATTCAAATGATGTGACGACACGACCTGTTTATATTCAAGCTTCCAGGCTATCACCAGTTTCTGTCGAGTCTCCCTCTTCGCGATCGGCTGGTCAAGGTGTGCAGGAAATACTATTGCTGCCACGGATAGGGAAAGCATGTATATTGTGCAACTCAACCGCGGCATTTTATTCTTTGCCGGAACTAAGCCCGGTGTCTGGAATAAGCGTCGTCAAGAACTGTACCTGGATTGGTGGGGTGGACTTGAATGATGCGATTGCTGCAGACGGCTCCGTAGCTACGAGCGGTAACGATGCCACCATACTCCTTTCTTTGAAATCCAAGATACAAGTTGTCCGCCTAGCCGATAAGGTGCTTGAGGCGCCAGTGAGTTACTTATATCTTTGGTTTATTGTGAACGCTGGCATGCTTGCTAACGTATGGTATCAGAAAGTGACATTTGCTGGAAGCGTTTTGTCCGTTCGCCGAGACTCAATAGCTTGCGTCGCCGATTCCAGGTCATACGCGCTATTAGACATTTATAGGCGGCTCACAATTCCATTGATGAGTATCTCGACCCTGGATGAAACACCCGTGGAAGATGTTGGACGAGTTCAATCACTTCGCGATACTGCTCCAGATCCTCCTGTCCGGACAGGTCCGACAAATTTATCTACTCCAAGTGCAAATACGCCAGGCCACAGTCGGAATCCGAGCCAGAATGACAATTCCTCCAACCCTCAAAAGCCGTCCTCTCCGGTGCCTTCACCAAGCCTAGAGCCACGCTCTAATTCTAAATCACCGTCGCCTCCTACAGACAAACCTTTGCCCTTACCCCCTGGCGAGGACACTTCGGCTGATCCAAGTGTGCACCCCACAGAACACCAGACATTGGATGTGCTCAAGCCGCATATTTCATCACCAAATTCTGAGGAGTTTTTATTGGTTATTGGGACGAAACTATCAGAACCAGGTGTTGGCATGTTTGTTAGTCTGGATGGCGAGCCTACGCGGGCGACGCTTCAGTTTGAGAAATATCCAGAGCAAATTGTGGTTGATGGCAACAATTTTGACATGACTTCGTCTCAGACAGGTTTTGGCGAGGAAGAAGATTGTCATGTATTGGCTTCCATATCTAAGGGATCTGATAATGGGCTTTACCATGGCATAGAAATTCAACACATAAACGCAGGCCAGGAAGCAAATCCAAAAAAGCATTGGTTGGAAGCAAGAGGCATTTCTATGAAGCACCCTTATGGCATGAGGACCTTACTTGGAAAAGGGCAAGTCCGACTCGGCGAGATTGTCTCCAAGCTCAGCCAAAAGCGATTCTCTCCATTTCCTGGACCATTGGAGGCATCTAGCTCACTCAAGAGCTCAGACTCTAGGACCGCACTGTCGATAGAACAATTGTCCAAAGAAAAAGAACTTTTCGAACGTGATGACTCGCAGGACGATGATTCACTGCCGGAAGGTTGGGAGACAACCCGCAATACGGAAGGGGAACAGTTCGTGCGACGACTTTCTGACGTTGAAACAAGATTGGCGGTCTGGAACGGCAATTGTATATGGTGGGCAATGCGAAATCCTTTAATTGTCCAACTTGACGCGCTGTTGGACGAAGCATGCCCCAGGGGGCAAATGGCAGACATGGACAAGAGTGCAGTGTATGCTGTCCTGAAACTTATTCGCGGCCGAGATGCGAGGACAGAATTGGAATACATGACGTTGGATTACCTGCGGCAAAAAGCTGGTCTCCTTCTCCTCATTAACGTTCTGTCTGTGCAAAAAGAGCAAGTCTCTGAAGGCGACCTCAATGCTCTGGAGAAACTTTTGGTGGACAGTAAGCTGGACCCTCGAGTAGTCCTGTCTCTCATTCCCGGAATCAGAAATGACATCATTGAAGGGAAACAAGGCATTTGGATCTATGCAGGGGTAAAGAAGATCGCCGAGTCTTACCTCCGAAGCGTCATTTTTGAAAGACCAGCAAAGAGCGCTCTACAAGATATCGAAATACAGACCATGCACTTTTTCCGCCGATTCCTATCGGCTTGGAGGAAAATGAAGGGATTTGGCAGCGTTCCCGACGAAGTTGAAGTATTCAGGACTGTGGATGCTGCACTTCTCATCTCCTTGCTTGAGCTGGACCAGCGCTCTCCTCGAGGCACGGTTCACAGCGGCGCGGTTAGATCGGAACTTAATGACGTTGTTGACAAAGGAGTGGACTGTTTCGACCGTGCTGTCGACATCTTAGAGTCGTATCATAGGCTTTTTATGCTGAGCAGACTCTACCAAAGCCGCAAAATGGCTGGTGACGTTTTGGCAACCTGGAAACGCATTATTGAAGGGGAAGAGGATAGCGCGTCCGAATTTGACGACGGCGAGCAACGTGTCCGAGACTACCTGAAGAAGATTAGCAGTCAAGCTCTGATCCAAGAATACGGAATTTGGCTTGCCAAAAGAAATCCACGACTGGGAGTGCAGGTGTTTGCCGAGGATGAGGGGAAGGCTCCCAGGTTTGAACCAGCGCGAGCCGTTGAGATTCTCCGGGCAGAGGCCCCGGATGCGGTCAAATATTACCTAGAGCATCTTGTATTTGCCAAGGGCCTCACGTCATATGTGAACGAGCTCTTAAACTACTATCTTGACGTGGTTCTTGGAGATCTCAGATCCTCGGCAGCCAGTCGAGAGACAGTTATGGCTACATACGAGGCATACAGGGCGTTACAAGGACCCAAGCCGACATACCACCATTTTCTATTAGCAAACACACCCCCGGATGGCGAAATATGGAAGAGTCGCTTACGACTGCTCCAGCTCCTTGGCGGTACGCATGACTACGACACCGCGGCTATCGCGGAACGTATTGGCAGTTTACCGGGCGACCTGCTCGTCCCTGAGACCATCATTCTAGCTGGCCATCAGCGTCGCCACGAAGAGGCACTACGGCTATTGGTCCACAGGCTTGGTGACTACGATACAGCAGTGTCGTACTGTCTTCGAGGCGGGTCCAGCGTCTACGGGCACCTGGATGGTCGACAGGCTGGAGGTAGCATGCCCGCAACAGAGCAGCAACGCCGTCTATTCCAGGTAGTCCTCCACGAATTTCTGAGCATTGCGGATGTTAGTCATCGAATCGAGCAGACGGGCGCGCTGTTGGAACGTTTTGGTGGCTGGTTCGAAGTGGAAGAAGTGCTAGGCTTGGTGCCCGACGCCTGGTCCGTGGACGTCGTGGCCGGGTTTCTCATAGGAGCGATGAAGAGACTTGTACGAGAGAAGAATGAGAGCGTGGTGAGAAGGGCGCTCAGTGGCGCAGAGAACTTGAGGGTCAACTACGACCTGGTTGTGGGAGTCGAGCAAAAGGGTCCGAGTATCGAGGCACAGAACTAGCGCTTTGGTGTCTATCCGAATATCAACGCAAGGAGTGTACATTTAGCGCGCATGTGTGTAACATAATGAGAAAGACATGGACACTTGACAAGATGCTACTGATGTTTGAAAAAAAAAAAAAGTCTTGATAGTTTCGACAATATGCTTCCGTCCAAAGTGGTGGCACAGCCATCACACCCGGCAATGGGATTCAGCTTCGGTCAGCTCGGCCAATTAACTCTAGAAGCAGGGACTAATGTATGATACAAACCCCAATGGACGTGTCCTACATGGCCAAACCACGGATGTTAGCCAAGGTTTCTCGCGTTCAGCAACGAAGGCGAAGCAGCTCCCCTGCCTCAGAGACATGGGCGATGCTGTCTCTCGCCGGCGCACAAAATCTCGCCTGGCAGCTGATGGCAACCTCCCTTGACCCCACGACGTCGACGGAGCACACGCCGACGTCCTTGCGAGCCAATAGCCTCGAAGCCCGCGCCAGGGACATGAGCCTTTTGCCAAGGGACCGACGTCCCAGCTGAGAAGACGGGCTCGTCCACGACATGGCGGTGGCTTGAGCTGAACAAACTATCGAATGCCTCGACGTATAACCAGAGGCCGTTGATGCCATTGTCTGTCGGCAGGCAAGAGCCACAGCACGTATGTACAAGATGGCAAACTCTGGCAATCGAGTTGGCTTGTGGCTTTCTTTGCTCCTCTTGGTTTCCGTGGAGTTGCTGTCGGGAGACGGCGCCGAGACGACCAAGATATAAAGGGAGCGGTGGTGCCGACCGGAGCCGCGTTGCGGGAGTACGGAACATGTGCCTTTATCTGTTCATTTGTTTGATTTTCTTTCATTTTATTCTACATGACTTGCTTTGCTTGTTTGCGGAACAGCACGCTCGTCCTGCCACGGCCTGCTGTCTATCGTCCGCAGCTCAGCTACAACAAGCCTCTGCTTCCGCGTCGTGATATCCTCCCCCCCTGTCCTGTCGGATGAACAGTCCCTACAGTACCTACAGTCCCTCTCTCAGTATCATCTCTACCTTGAGGCCGACTCGTGCAAGCGCTTGGCGGTTAAAGAAGCCCTTCATCTTCTCACGGCCCGTGTAGCACTCGACCACTACCCAGCACCTCGTGTCAGACCTTGGTTGATGGTCACTCTGGGAAAATGACACTCGGAGCGGAGGTCAACTAATCCTCAGGTTGGGGTGACTCGTTGCCCTTGAGGATGGATATACCGAATGTTCAATGCCACAAGTGGCTATTCGACTCGATGCTACTCGCAGCGTCCACGGCCACATCCGGACCGAGCAGAACCGTGGTGCCTGTTTTGGTATCATCACACAACAGTTAATTTACATGGGTGACGAACGAGTTTTTGGACCGACGTATCGACGTCTCGCTCAGTCAGTCGCGCTGCGAAATGGGGGCCGCCCGAACACAAAGCCGAGTGCTTTGACGACGAAGTGCTTTACATCGGCGTCGCGAAAAGGCCCTGGTCCTTCCTCCTCGTGAATAAACGACACGTCGCATCACGATGGTTCAAACAGCGGCACACGAGTTGGGGAGAAGAGTTCTTGTCCCATTAAGAAATATCCTAAGAGGCGTTGTTAAATCGCCGGAAACACCACCACAGTGGACAAAACACAGGGTATCGAGAACGAAAAGAGCAAAAAGGGAAAAAATCCTTGGACCGCTCTCAAAGCCGGAACGATTCCAGAAGCTGGGTTTCCAATCCATGTCATCCATCGTAATTAAGAACAACCAAATGTCCATATTCATGCCCAAACCGAGAGGCTGCGAAGACAAAAAAACAAACCTGCACATTATCAATAAGTGCATAAAACTCCGAAAATTGAACCCGCATGGCAAAATACCAATCCGACCCAGCCATGTCCCATTAAATCCAGGTCAATTTCACATGCGCCGTCTTCCTATGCTCCCCTTCTAATATGGTTATGAGTCTCTAGCAAATCGAGTTCGTAAGGTCTCAAACTCCCTTCCGTGTGCTGGGGAGACGAGAAGATGATGGCTCTAGACAAGCAAAGGACCTATTAAATGGGGGCACTGCTCGTCTTCAACATTTCATGCATTTCCTTCAGTTGTTCCTCCGTGGGGTCATCAGAAATCCACGGTCCTTTCTCATCGTCTGTGGCGCCAAGGAAGCCTTCAGCCCGCTTTAGCGTTTGGACATCAAGGTCCGTAACATATGATTTGCCATCCGACAGTTTGATGCGAACCTCATGATCGGTCGAAAGCATCATGTCGTCCTTGGCCAATCTGCGGGGACCATCAAAGACAGCCATAATACGCTTTCGCATCGTCATTTGGCCCTTATCAAAGCCCCAGGATGATGGGTAGTCGCGACGATTCTTGCGGCCACGAGTCTTGGTAGCAGTCGGAACACCTCCCCGAGAATGCGTCAACCCGCGGGATTTTTGCACACCGTTGGCAGGGTTACCTTTTTTCTTTATTGAGGGCGACGAGTTGGCTTTGGAAGAAACATCATCGGCATCCTCGTCCTCGCCCATGTCCAAATCATCCTCCTCGTCCTCATGCAGGGAGGCCTGTATAGTCGGTGTTGTGGTTGGGAGGTTGTTCTTTTCCAGGGTATGGTGGACCATCTTGTCGTTCTCGACCTCGGCCAATCGCTGTGCATTGATGGCCTCTGCGGGATCCTCCTGTTGCACAATTCGAAGGACACAGTCGTCCAGATGCTCGTAGAAGTCCTGGGCATTGGAGAAGGTTTGCGAACACGTGGAACACTTTCCAGTGGCATCGGGAGCGTAGCCAGTGAGTTTCTTTCCAGTGGCCACGCCGGCTGGCGTCTTCTTGCGGCTATTCGGGGGAGTCTGTTCAACACCATGAACAGCGGTCAGGTGTCTCTTGAAGACATCTGCTCGGTTGAACGACTTTTCGGCAGGAGACCCAGAGCCAGGGCAGAAACCGCAAACCATGGTGCCCTTGTAGTGGGTCAGTGTGTGGCGGTTCTTGTCGTATTTGCGGGCAAAACCCTTGATGTGGTATTCGCAGGTCTGGATGGGACACTTCTCGGGTCGCTCATTCTGGTGAGTGAGCATGTGCGCCTTGAGGTCCTTGAATATCTTGCCGCAATCGGGATAGGTGCACCTTTGCTTCTCCTTGGTTTCATCGCTGCTAAAGTCGGCAGAGCCAACCGGGGAAATGAAGTTGGCCATGCTGACACGGCGGCCATTGGCGTCAATGGGGGCACCGTACGGGCTGTGGGTGGTGTAGTTGGGACCAAAGGGGCCATTGTGGAGGAATGGCGAGGCGCTGTCGGTTCGAGCCATGTTGGGCTGCGGTGACGACGATAGTGAGGGCGAGGGCACGAATTGGTGTGCCTGAGCGTGTTGAAAGTGGCCATCGTAAGGCGAGATGGGCATCGGAGGGCGGGCGATTTCTGGGTGGATGAGGGAAGGATCTGCGACAACGGGAACAGCGTCAGTGAGTGTGGCCGCGGACGACATGGTCAATTGCCGCTACGACTGTCGTCGTGATCGGAATGACGATGCAGAATTGAAACAGAACAATGCAATCAAGGATGAACCGGAAAAGTAAAAGGTGTCTTTCGAGGGTTCCAGATAGTAACAACATAGGTTGGGTTAAGTGAACCGAGGCGGGGTGAGGTGGCCAGCGGTTTTGGCCGAGGACAAGAGGCCGCCCAAGACGGGTAGCAACCACCAACCGTTGACGTACGGAGGTCTCAAATAGGTGCGAGAAACGAGAAACACCTTTTTTTGGTGGGGGGGCGCCAGCGACCATTCAAGGAACACCCACTGCGCTTACTGGGCGCCACATGCTCTCGCTGGATGAGACACAGCAGCTGGTCACAGCGACTCGTCACAATCGGCCAGCAGCACTTGGGATGACCGGAGCGCTCGACTCGTGCACCTCGACCGAGCTGCTCAACCAACACCGACGGCACACCACTATGCAGCAATGGATGCAGCGGCATGCACTCGCTGCTCCGTACAGCGGGCTGTCCAGACAAAGCAAAGCACAGCAGACAACTGGTGTGCGTCGGGGCCCCGTGAAATGATGACGCGCTGCGTCGGAGCGCCGTTGGGCCGTTGTGTTGTAAAAGTCGGCACCCGCACTGGCGGAGCCACGACCCAATTGTCTCAGGCATGGCGCGCAATGGCAAGCTGAACTGCGGGCCCCCCTGGCAAACCCAAACATCGAGTACCCATGATGATTCGGCCCACAGGTCCAGTATGTATGAAAGATACGGAACAATCATGATGTGCACCTTTTTCCCTTGGAAGGTGAGCACCGGCACGGAGGTAGGTGTGCGGGTATCCCGTACGGGAGATGTTCATTGCCATCTGGCCTCGGCTGCGACCAAGCCCCAAGGCTATCATTTGGCGAACAGACTGACAGACAGATGGGCGATGCGCAGACGACGAGGACACAAAACATAGTGGGAATGGGCAAGGAGTCGGCAGCAACTGAAGCTTGCCAAAGAGGTGAAAAATACGGCCATGCAAAGAAAGAGAAAGGGCGAGACAAAGGCGCAAGAGAGGGCGAGAAAATGCCATACTACTTACCAACAAAAGATTTTGGCTGTCCGCCAAAGTCAAAGCTGCTGAAATCCTCCACTCCAGAGCCATGAAAGTACTCGGGGGCGGCCATATAGTCACTCCCGACGATGCTGGGTTGCATGTTCATTGTGTGACCGGTCCAGTCAGTCACACCCAAGTGTCCGTTGCTCGACTGTGGTGAACCGACTGCTGAAGATGGCGCTGAGGGAAGGGAACCAGAGGACAGACCAGAGGACGACAGTCTTATGTCACCGTCCTCTGGATACACACCAGGAGACGTGTGGCCCCTGAGAATGTAGTTCGGCGTCTCGGCGTATAGCGAGGGCTCAAAGCCCATTGACGTTGTGCTAGGAGGGTACGTGACACCAACGGTCATTGGAGAAGCAGATCCAAAGGCGTTCTGTGGGGGTTCAGGATAATTGGTGTAATCGTCCGTACGTTGCTGTTGTGCGAACAGGCCGTTGTAGGGCTGCTCAGCCAAAGCGGCCATTGTGTTTGTGACGATTGTAGATTGCGGGGGGCGAGTCTGGCATTTTAGAGTCAGCAATACGCACATCTGGTTTCCTATTCACATTTCTCTTTGAGACGCCTTCGCTCAGGACTGGGCTTTTTTTTTCCCCTCTTCATATGTCTTGCTCTTACCTCGAAAGAACCGCACAGTCTCGTTCCACCCCAAGGCCTCTTCTGTTATAAATCAGGTAGGGCTTTGTCTCGCGGGGTTGCCGAGCCTGGCAGGATGACAAGAATGAACACTTCGAAGTATTAGATGTATGTAGAGGCAAAAATTCGACAGGTCGCTATTGTTCTTTCTGCTTCGCCTCGTCGTAGCCTTGGCTGTATGCTGTGAAGGAATAGCAATTCTGGGAACAAGTGGTAGAGAAGGTGTGATAACGACAGGGCGAACAAGAGCAGTTGTGTCGTAGGGCGTTTCGGTGTGATGGTGCGGTGTCGACAATAATACCCGGATGAGAGAGGGCTGGTATGTGACAACAGAATTCTACGTGATGATTGATTGGTGTTGAGGGACAACCAAAAGTTGATCTGGTAGAGAAGGCTGACAACAAACGTTTGATGTTGTTGGGGGCTTGGACGTAGATATATAGACGGCCTGCATCTAGACTAGACAGCCCAAACCAGGGCCCGGTGGACAGGATCTACTTTTTCCACAAAGTTGAGATACAGGGCCAGTAGGGCAGAGGTGTTGAACTCCGCCAGCCTCATCCGGGAGACAGGGGGGTGTGGTCAAGAAGGCTCCATCACCGCAGAAATTGAAGAGACAAAATTCATTGCACAGGGTCATCCATCATGATGCCGCCCGCGCAGCATGGCTCTCGGGCTGGTGGGCTTTTCGGTATTCATCAAGAGCCTCGTCTTGGGACTGGAGTCGACCAGGATCAGGCAGAGAGGCGTGTGTGCAAGACAGGAAAGGGAAGAAGAAAAAAGGCGTTTGCGTGCCTGGGGCGTGGTTCGCAGGGCGGGCGTGTGGTCGAGAGTTCATGAAGGTTTGTGGGAGCCATCGATTGAGCCACTGGCGTATTTGGGCGGTCCCCGACGATCATCTGGCGGAAAAGGTCATGGACCTCTGGTGTACCCAAAAGTACCGGTACCTCGTTCACCTGGCCTCATTAAGGAGGGGCGGAAGTCGGCAGGCAAGAACGAAGGCAAATGACCTGGTACTGTAAGCGTCAAAGTTAGCAATGTGGTCTGGTACCGTTGCAACGGGTCGTGTATCTGGTACAAGAACCAAAGTATCGTCCCGAGAAACGAGCAACCCAGCAACCTCAGAACAGCCCATGACTGGCCACCCAAGCGATGCGCGGCGACCCCATTGCAGAGGTGATGGGGTTGCTGGGGTCTCGGCATGACACTCCCACACTCACACACACACAACCACACCGTGAAGCAACACTCCAGAGACAAGTCGCCAGCAAACCAACATGATGCCAGGGGTATCGGACATGCTAAACCTAGATGGGACTCGCGGGTCTTGCGACAGCTCAAGAGGATATACTTTGTCTTTGAACCCCCCCTAAGTCCCCCACAAGCCGTCTTTCTGTAGGCAGACTGTCTCAGACACACAGCAAGCTTACTACTACCACCTGTCCTTCGACTCCGATTTTTGTACGGATTGCTGTTTGGAGGCCGACTGAATGTACCCCGTACCAAGCAGACGGTATCTGTCTCGCATCCAGTGTCTCTGGTCCCTGTTTGCCTGACATCTTCCTCTCAACTGGAACGAACAGCCATAGGCAATCAAGACTGTGGCGGCTCGTGGCTCGTGGCTCCAGGCCTCCCACCTCCTTTTCCCCGACTTAGATTCAGTACTTGGGACTTGAATTCAGACCATTGGGGTGATTTCAACTTCAACGATACATACAGCCTAGGGTCGCGGGCTTACGGTTGATTTGCAAAGGATCACCAATTCTCAGGGCCTTCGTCTGGAGCTTGGGAAGGTCACATCATGGTGATCAAACAAGAGGTACTAGACAAGCCACTCAGTCGTTGACGAGCAAAAATAATCTCACTTCTCCTCATCCAAGGGCCGGCGGCAATCGGCAGGCTGGTTTGGAGCGTCAACCCGGCACATCGGACATATGTAACAACCTGGGTATTAGTCCGGAGTGAACTGCATGTGTATCTGACATCTCGAGCCTAAAATCATGGCAGTACGTACTTGTATGTACATCTGTAGGCAGGACCCTAGAAGTGTTTTACTCCGTATAAACCCAAATTGGAGGTAAACAGAAGCACTTGAGGGATAATTCGCTCAAGACAGAAGGGTTCCACTCAAAAATTTGCACAGGACTGGTTTTTTTGTCAGTCTCTCTGGCCCTGGCTGGTTGTGATGACAAGTACGGAGTACCGAGACAGTAACCGACAGTTGCCAGCACCAGGACGTCGTCAATCACCGAATAATTCTCTCATCTCAGAAGAATTTCTTTCAATAGTAGAAAGCCCAAGCCCAAGCAGCCCGCATCAACTCAGTACCAGATGCATTGCACGGCAGATGCTCGTCAAGCCAACAGAAACAGATTGCAGCACCGTGTTCAACCAGTACTTCGGGTCCTAACCCTACTTCCCATGTCTGATAAGCCCCGCGGGGCTGCGGGCCTTGGCCGCAATCTTGAACTATGCCACTCTTGGCCTCAACTACGAGTGAACAGTGCATTGCATTCTAAATTAGAGGCCGTCTAAACAAGCAGGAAGTGTATCAAGAAATGGTACTGTACCCCGACCGGCGCCAGGTATCGTCCAGAGAACGGAGTGCTACCAAGGGAGGTAGATACGTTCAGTGCTTTCGTTGGCGTTGGCCTAGGACGACGCATTACGCTTTCTTCGGTCCATTCAGTCGCGAGCGCCTCGAGTCTCCCGATATGGGCCGTGCGTTTGCGCTGGAACATTTTACTTTGTCCTATTTAGTTCAGGGGGTGAGCCCCCTCAATGTATAACGGGTTGTGCTATTAGGTATAACAGAGGTTAACCACTCCTATTAGAAACTGAATGTTGCGAGGCCGACAGGAGCCGTCCTGCACAATGTTACGCGTCGTATTATGAGGTCAGGGCGCATCTCTTGCTCCTCAATTTCGGTTTTCCAAGGTCAGGAACCGGGTCTTAGCTGCTGACGAATACTTTCATTTCCAGAGCCGTGAAACACTCGCGCCCGTAATAAATTGCAACTGTTACAAGAGAAGAGTGAGAAGCGCGGTACGGCGAATCTCAGCGTTGCGTCGGCCACCAAAGACGATTGGCGCATGAATCTGCGGGAGCCGAGACATTGGAATTCGTTTCCGTTGAGCCATGGTCTGCCTGCCCGAGGACTGGATCCCTGTTGGCCACGAACGGTGGACAAAGACGGTAAGGGAAAAGAAACAACTGCATTGGAGCAGGGCCCAATAGTTTGGCATGGCGGCATCGAGCCCGAGTTTGGAACCGACGGGCGCACGCACAGCCCGCCAGGCAGTTCTCACTCTCCATACTTGACTCGCAGAGCACGTTGCTTCGGGAAGGGGGGTTATTGATGGCGGCAGCAGTATCGCGCGCTGTGCTGGCCTGGTGTCTGGTGTCTGGTGGTGTGCCAGAGGACAAGAAGACGTGGTGGACCTGCCGACTGGGCCTGCCAAAAAGGCTCTTGGTGTTTGGTTACTGCCCGCGCATGCAGGACGCAGGACTTCCCCCCCCCCCTGTGTGGAGAGTGGAGAGGGCGGAGAGAGCGGCGATTTTGGCCAGAAGAGACTAGTCGGCATCTGCACAACTAGACGACAGACGAGGCAATCGAGACTATGCCAGGTTGGGGAATTCGTGTCCCGCAAGGCGATTCGTCTGATGAGCTGGCGAGGGCGCATTTCCACGCCGACAGCCTCGCGGGTCAAACAATGCATAACGGGTTTGGCAGGATTGATTGACGATTGCCAGTAGCGGAGCACGGAGGAGCACGGAGTTGAAAGTATGGGGCAGTCAGTATTACGTACCTAGGTATGTATGTATATTATTGCATGACTGAGCAGGCAGGAGTAGAGGAGTTCAGTGCTTGGTGGCCTCATCCCACTTTCCAAACGTTGCCAAAGGCAATATCAAGGCCGGTATTTGCTGACTGCAGTCGCCCCGTTGGTCATTTAATTGCCAAGGCATATCTGGAGTAGTAATTGCGTACAGGGTTATCCCGGGGCATGTTTTCAGTGTCGTGGTCCACCTCAAAAGCCCATCAGACATCTGTTTTTGAGCCGTCACATGTTGTCTCGCCGCAAGTCAAAGTTCTGTTTTTAATTACTACTAGATGACTTGTCCCGCACCAGTGTGAGCAAGATGATTATGCAGGCGACGAATGCACCGATGGAGAGTCTTTACCCAATAGCTCCAGACGGAGAGATGAAAATACCACCCCTGTGACAATGTTATTCCTTGGGGCGTTGCAACATGAGGCAGCAGTAGAGATGCCTGTGCCTTGCGGTTCATGCTGTGTAATGTTGATGAAAAGGCACAGAGCACTCCGTACTCCGCACTCCATCGTCATATTCACTATGTGATGACTTAAACTTTTAGGCTATTTGCCTAGGCCCAACTCTGACGTACTACATAATACTATTAATCTTGGAATCTTTCGACTATCTCCTGACTCGGTCATGGGTGCAGTCGTAGGGCAGGCCAACCAGAGGCCTGGATCGGGGCCCGGCTTGACACAGGTGAGCCACAGCGCGCGGAATTTACCTCGTGGCGGCGGCGAATCTGTTTCCGAAGTTGAGATTTGCTGTTCACACACAATGGACATCTGGACTCGACGAGACATGATGGGGCCTCTCCCAATTTGGCCTAGCCATATGCACACTCGCTTGCGGCTACCAACGTCAGTTAGCTTGAACGGTGGAGGTGGTTCTGCGGCGGGGTTGATTGGGTGCAGAATGGCAAGATTGAAATGGTTGACACTCCGACCTGCAGAGGCGGGCTCTAATTTACCTTTCGCCGACTGGGGGTATCCCGGTTAGCCTTGCAGGT